AATCTGATTTTTGAAATGTATAAGTTGTTTTGTTATTTTTGTAATAGTTTAATGATAAAGTAGTGAAAGTGAATTTTTCCCTATACTAAAACCAATTTGAAGGTTCGTTTCCACCGTTCGGTCTGTTCCCGATTCCACGTTGATGTCGTGATGACGCTTCCACCTCCTGCTATAACATGTCTGCCAATGAGTCGCCGGACTAGAAGACTTGAATCTCGGACGATCGGAAGACTGGAAACTCTCGTCTGCAGCTTGCCACAGTGAATTTTTCATGTATTCTTTTTTTTTTTCCTTTTTTTTTTTTTATGTTATTTTTTATTTATGAGTTATGACTATCCTTACTTATGAATCATGATGTATGTTCTATGAGTTAATTGGCAATTTGGCATTGAAATGAGAATTGTGATTTGTGAATATGTGATTTGGGATAGATAATCTATGTTGCACTATCATTGAGTTATGAATTGTAATTTATCATTTATGTGTTTTGATTTGTGATTTGGGAATTTTTGTTTAGGGAATTAGGATAATCGAAAAAAAATTAAATATTAATAAACGACATCGTTATTACAATCGTTGATTGTCGACAGTCAACAACAAAGGTTCACCCTAGCTGAACTTTAACCTTGGATTCACTGTTGATGTCAATGTTTCTTTTATATTGTTTTTATGTTTGATTTATTATACACGGGGAGTCGCAATTATTACTAGCATATTTGGACGAAAGGGTTCAAAAAACACAAAGCTATGGACATTTAAGAAAAAGGAGTTTCATATTATGTCCTAAAAACAAAAGAGTTTTTTTTTTCTTAAGTAGTAAAAATGTCTTACAAGCAATATTAAACACTGCTATCGAAGCTATATGCACTATGCTAAATAATTTGAATTTAGTGCTCAAAGTAACAATAAAAAACATTTCTTTGGCAGTAAAAAATATAAAAATAAAATAAAAAAACTCTTTCATTTGCAATTTGAAATTCGAGCTATATCTAAGATTTACAGTTTTAGTTTTCACACTTTAAGCTCCTTTTATTTTCTTATGAAAATCTCCATATTTTACTAGAAAATGTAAGGTACTAGTGGTCTTTGAAGTCTCTGAAAGTGG